TAACACACACTAACACTAACACACACTAACACTAACACACTAACACACACTAACACCGCACACTAACACACACAAACACACACAAACACACACTAACACACACTAACACACACTAACACACACTAACACTCACACACACTAACACACACTAACACTCACACACACTAACACTCACACACACTCACACACACTAACACTATAACACACTAACACTAACACACACTAACACACACTAACACTCACACTCACACTAACACACACTAACACTAATACACACTAACACTAACACACACTAACACACACTAACACTAACACACACTAACACTAACACACTAACACTCACTAACACACACACTAACACACACAAACACACACTAACACACACTAACACTAACACACACTAACACCACACACTAACACACACTAACACTAACACACACTAACACTCACACTAACACACACTAACACACGCTAACGCCCACACGCTAACGCCCACACGCTAACAACAACAACCGCCATTCGCCACTAAGTGGCGGTGACGTCACCACGACGCTTGTGCCAGGCTATGTGCACCCTGAGGCCACGTGAAGTGTCGAACGCCCGCTGGCAGGAGGTCACGGGGCAGACCCAGGTGCCACGGGTCGACTGACTGAGATGACTGGCTGATGCACCACCTGTGCCCCCTACTGTGCCAACCTGCTGTGCTTTAGCCACCCGGCGCTCCGCTCGTTGTTCTGAGCGTCGCTCCTCCGCCCTCCGTTGTTGTTGGAGGGCGACTGCCTCCAACTGCCCAGTAGCGTCCTTCACGAGCCTCCTCCACAGAGGCCGATCTTGACACCGCTGGTACCAGTCATCGGCAAGTCCACTCAGCTCCACGTCCTCCGGTACCACATCACTCCATCTCTTCTCTAGCCCGTGCCGTGCCCGCTTTGCCCCCTCAATCCGGCCGAACAAAAGCTGTTTCGGCATGCGGTGGCTGGGCATGCGGGCTACATGACCCAGCCATCGCAGCCTTGCCCGCCGGAGGAGCTCACCGATGGGACCTTGCCCAGATCTTTCAAGGATTTGTGAGCTCCTCACACAATCCAGTCTGGTTAAACCCAGGATGGATCGTAGGCAGGCCAGCCTAAATGTTTCTAACCGGCGAAGATGTTCCATTAGGGGGGTCCACGTTTCGCAAGCGTAGAGAAGGGAGGGAATGACCGTGGCCGAGAAGACCTGAAGCTTAGTGCGGAGCGACAGACCAGGTAGCTTCCACACAGCGTTACGCAACCGATGAAAAGATATTGCCGCTCGACTGATTCGGAGTGAGACCTCTGCTGTTAAACTGGAGCCAGTCATGAGCACACTGCCCAGGTATGGGAAACTCTCCACTCTCTCCACAACTGCCCCATCACCGATTGGGAGTTGTGGGGGTGGAGTGTCCGATGGTACAAAATACCCAGGCAGGTGCTTAGTTTTGGTGGGGCTGATGGTAAGGCCCCACCTTTTAGTGGCACGCTCCAGTCTCAGCAGCAGCGTCTCCAACTCCTCCTCTGACTGAGCAGCTATTACCAAATCATCAGCATACATAACGTGGTTTAGCAATAGGGAGCCATCCCTTGACCGCACCCGGGCATCGATCAGCCTCCCATTATATCTGTACCATATGGAGATTCCCCCGGTACAGCTATTGAAGGCTTCACGAACTACGTGGTTAAAATAGATGTTAAATAATGTGGGAGCCAGAGGACATCCCTGTCGCACCCCAAGGTGTACAGGGAATGGCTCTGACTCCCGGCCACGTAGTTTTACCCCGGCCCGCTCACCATCATGAAGGTCCTTAATGATCGTGAGCAGAGGGTCAGGTACTCCAAAAGCACGAAGAACGACCCAGAGCCCAGGCCTACTGATGGTATCATAGGCCTTGACCAGGTCAATAAAGCAGAGATGTAGGTCTTGTTGGAATTCCCTACACCTCTGCTGTAGCAGACGGACGGAAAATATGGCATCTGTGCAGGACCGCCCTTTCCTGAAACCGAATTGGGGCTCCGCAAGCCTCTCCTCAGCGTGCCTGGCAAGGCGATGCTGAATAATCCTTGCCAGGACCTTTCCCGGCACACTGAGGACTGAGATGCCCCTGTAGTTGTTACAGTCTGTGCGGTCCTTCCAATCCTGCGGAACCCGTCCAGTGGTCCGGACTGTTGTTATGATATCATATAGGGCAGTCTGTGCACAAACGCCACCCTCCCTCAGCATTTCGCTTGGGAGATCATCTCTGCCCGCTGCCTTTCCTGGTCTCAGACTCCGGATCGCCTTCAGTACTTCCTCAACAGATGGCACCTCAGCCAGCCACTCACAGGGGGTGACTTCTTCCAATATTTGAGGCACCGCAGCCTCAGCAGGGTCATCCTCACTTTGTGCCACGATGTTTTCCTGGCTGAGGGATTTTCCCTCCCCCAGGACCTCACAGAAATGCTCAGCAAATCTGCAAACCACGCTAACACCCACACACTAACACACACTAACACCCACACGCTAACGCCCACACGCTAACGCCCACACGCTAACACCCACACGCTAACACCCACCCGCTAACACCCACACGCTAGCACCCACACGCTAACACCCACACGCTAACACCCACACGCTAACACCCACACGCTAACACCCACACGCTAACACCCACCCGCTAACACCCACACCTTAACACACTAACACCCACCCGCTAACACCCACACGCTAACACCCACCCGCTAACACCCACACGCTAACACCCACACGCTAACACCCACACGCTAACACCCACCCGCTAACACCCACACGCTAGCACCCACACGCTAACACCCACACGTTAACACCCACACGCTAACACCCACACGCTAGCGCCCACACGCTAACGCCCACACGCTAGCGCCCACACGCTAGCGCCCACACGCTAGCGCCCACACGCTAGCGCCCACACGCTAGCGCCCACACGCTAGCGCCCACACGCTAGCGCCCACACGCTAACACCCACACGCTAACACCCACACGCTAACACCCACACGCTAGCGCCCACACGCTAGTTCACATTGTGATGGCGACGCGTTGGTAATGCTCCATCACGTGTTGTAAATCTCTTACACAGTCAATGTTGAACTTTAGCGTGACAAAACTGATGCTCACCCCGAGCCCTCATTACTTCGATAGCGGCATTGTCTTTGAGCTGCGTGACGCCTTTTGACGTCATCTGGTCGAGCACCAATTGGCTCAAAAGAAAGCCGTCCCTTGGTGCGGACCAATCAGCTTCAAGGACAGTGCATCGTCATATTCATATTCTTAGCTCTTTCGGTAAAGTCACGTTGAAGGGAAACAACAAAATAATAAAAATACATATGAAACAATGAAACAAAATTCTCACGACGTTTGCGTTACGGTCGAAACGCCGTGAGAATTTTATCGTTTTATATATATTTTAAAATTATTTCATTGTTTCCCTTCAACGTGCCTTTACCGAAAGAGCCAAGAATATGAGTCGCTGTAGCCACGGAAGCTTTAGATCAAAATTGAACGCACACATCATCACGGCGGTGTGTGGATTTTCGTCTGCATTGTGACCGCGGGTTAATGCGGTGAACATGAATCCTGGTAAGTTAAAACAAAAAAAAGAAGCTTCAGTTTCGTCGCCATAAAAAAAAAATGGGTAACCGGGGCGACCCCCTTATTATCACGTGTTGCTACTGGTATCACGTGTTGCTGCTGGTATCACGTGTTGCTACTGGTATCACGTGTTGCGTGCTGGTATCACGTGTTGCGTGCTGGTATCACGTGTTGCTACTGGTATCACGTGTTGCTGCTGGTATCACGTGTTGCTACTGGTATCACGTGTTGCGTGCTGGTATCACGTGTTGCGTGCTGGTATCACGTGTTGCTACTGGTATCACGTGTTGCTACTGGTATCACGTGTTGCTACTGGTATCACGTGTTTCTGCTGGTATCACGTGTTGCTACTGGTATCACGTGTTGCTACTGGTATCACGTGTTGCTACTGGTATCACGTGTTGCTACTGGTATCACGTGTTGCTACTGGTATCACGTGTTGCTACTGGTATCACGTGTTGCTACTGGTATCACGTGTTGCTGGTGGTATCACGTGTTGCTGCTGGTATCACGTGTTGCTGCTGGTATCACGTGTTGCTACTGGTATCACGTGTTGCTGCTGGTATCACGTGTTGCTACTGGTATCACGTGTTGCTACTGGTATCACGTGTTGCTACTGGTATCACGTGTTGCTACTGGTATCACGTGTTGCTGCTGGTATCACGTGTTGCTAGTGGTATCACGTGTTGCTAGTGGTATCACGTGTTGCTGCTGGTATCACGTGTTGCTGCTGGTATCACGTGTTGCTACTGGTATCACGTGTTGCTACTGGTATCACGTGTTGCTACTGGTATCACGTGTTGCTACTGGTATCACGTGTTGCTGCTGGTATCACGTGTTGCTGCTGGTATCACGTGTTGCTGCTGGTATCACGTGTTGCTGCTGGTATCACGTGTTGCTACTGGTATCACGTGTTGCTACTGTTATCACGTGTTGCTACTGGTATCACGTGTTGCTACTGGTATCACGTGTTGCTACTGGTATCACGTGTTGCTACTGTTATCACGTGTTGCTGCTGGTATCACGTGTTGCTACTGGTATCACGTGTTGCGTGCTGGTATCACGTGTTGCGTGCTGGTATCACGTGTTGCGTGCTGGTATCACGTGTTGCTACTGGTATCACGTGTTGCTGCTGGTATCACGTGTTGCTACTGGTATCACGTGTTGCGTGCTGGTATCACGTGTTGCGTGCTGGTATCACGTGTTGCGTGCTGGTATCACGTGTTGCGTGCTGGTATCACGTGTTGCTGCTGGGCAAAGGGAGGCCTAATGACGCAGCTCGACTTTCAAAAATGCAATCGCGAATCGAACGGCAACTTCGGCACTTGCCCCGGCGGTCCGTCAGAGGCTACGCGGGTGACCTTTGTCCTTGCCGACAGATCCTGGAGCTGCTGCTGGTGGCGGGAGCCGACCCGGACGTGGGTGACAGCCTCCGCTCCACGCCGGTGCACCGCGCGGCCGCGCAGGGACACGGGGCCTGTCTGCAGCTCCTGCTACAGCACGGGGCCTCCAGTAACCTGCAGGACGGGCAGGGCAACACGCCGCTGTGCGTGACGCACGCTCGCCCACTCGCTCGCCCGCTCACCCGCTCACCCACTCGCTCACCCAGACACTCACCCACTCGCTCACTCACTCACCCAGACACTCACCCGCTCACTCACCCACTCGCTCACTCACTCACCCAGACACTCACCCACTCGCTCACCTACTCGCTCACCCGCTCACTCACTCGCTCACCCACTCACTCAGCCAGACACTCACCCACTCGCTCGCTCACCCACTCGCTCACCCGCTCACTCACTCGCTCACCCACTCACTCACCCACTCACTCACCCAGACACTCACCCACTCGCTCACCCACTCGCTCACTCACTCACCCAGACACTCACCCACTCGCTCACCTACTCGCTCACCCACCTACTCACTCGCCCGCTCACTCGCTCGCTCACTCACTCGCTCACCCAGACACTCACCCAGACACTCACCCGCTCGCTCACCCACTCGCTCACTCACTCACCCACTCACTCACTCAACCTACAGGACAGGCAGGGCAACACGCCGCTGTGCGTGACGCTCGCTCGCCCGCTCGGTCGCCTTCTCACTCACCTACTCACTCGCCCGCTCACCCACTCACCCACCCACTCGCTCACTCACTCAATCACTCACTCACTTACCCACTCACTCACTCACTCACCCACTCACCCACCCGCTCACTCACTCACTCACCCACCCACTCGCTCACGCACTCACTCACTCACCCACTCACCCACTCACTCACCCACTCACTCACTCACCCACTCACTCACCTACTCACTCGCCCACTCACCCACCCACTCGCTCACTCACTCAATCACTCACTCACCCACTCACTCACTCACCCACCCACTCGCTCACTCACTCACTCACCCACTCACTCACTCACCCACCCACTCGCTCACTCACTCATTCACTCACCCACCCACTCGCTCACGCACTCACTCACTCACCCACTCACTCACCCACTCACTCACCCACTCACCCACTCACTCACTCACTCACCCACTCGCTCACTCACCCACCCACTCGCTCACTCACTCACTCACCCACCCACTCACTCACCCACTCACTCACCCACTCACTCACCCACTCACCCACTCACTCACCAACTCACTCACTCACTCACCCACTGACTCGCTCACGCACTCACCCACTCACCCACCCACTCGCTCACTCACCCACCCACTCGCTCACTCACTTGCGCACTCACCCACCCACCCACTCACTCACCTGCTCACCCACTCACCTGCTCACCCATTCACCTGCTCACCCACTCACCTGCTCACCCACTCACCTGCTCACCCACTCACCTGCTCACCCACTCACCTGCTCACCCGCTCACTCTGCAGGATGGGCAGGGCAACGCGCCGCTGTGGGTGACGCTCCTCAACCACTCGTTCACCTACTGGCTCAGCCGGTCGCTCGCCCACTCATTTGTCTCTCTGTCAGTGTCTCTCTGTGTCAGTGTCTCTCTCTGTCAATGTCTCTCTGTCAATGTCTCTCTGTCAATGTCTCTCTGTCAATGTCTCTCTGTCAGTGTCTCTCTGTGTCAGTGTCTCTCTCTGTCAATGTCTCTCTGTCAATGTCTCTCTGTCAATGTCTCTCTGTCAGTGTCTCTCTGTGTCAGTGTCTCTCTGTCAATGTCTCTCTGTCTGTCTCTCTGTCTGTGTCTCTCTGTCAATGTCTCTCTCTGTCAATGTCTCTCTGTCAATGTCTCTCTGTGTCAGTGTCTCTCTGTCAATGTCTCTCTCTGTCAATGTCTCTCTGTGTCAGTGTCTCTCTGTCAGTGTCTCTCTCTCTGTGTCTCTCTGTCAATGTCTCTCTGTCTGTGTCTCTCTGTCTGTGTCTCTCTGTCAGTGTCTCTCTGTCAATGTCTCTGTCAGTGTCTCTCTGTCAGTGTCTCTCTGTGTCAGTGTCTCTCTGTCAGTGTCTCTCTGTCTCTGTCTCTCTGTCAGTGTCTCTCTGTCAGTGTCTCTCTGTCAGTGTCTCTCTGTCTGTGTCTCTCTCTGTCTGTGTCTCTCTCTGTCTGTGTCTCTCTGTCAGTGTCTCTCTCTGTCAATGTCTCTCTGTGTCAGTGTCTCTCTCTGTCAGTGTCTCTCTCTGTCAGTGTCTCTCTCTGTCAGTGTCTCTCTGTCAGTGTCTCTCTGTGTCAATGTCTCTCTCTGTCTGTGTCTCTCTGTCTGTGTCTCTCTGTCTGTGTCTCTCTGTCTGTGTCTCTCTGTCAATGTCTCTCTGTCAGTGTCTCTCTGTCGATGTCTCTCTGTCTGTGTCTCTCTGTCTGTGTCTCTCTGTCAGTGTCTCTCTGTCAGTGTCTCTCTGTCAGTGTCTCTCTGTCAATGTCTCTCTGTCTGTGTCTCTCTGTCTGTGTCTCTCTGTCAGTGTCTCTCTCTCAGTGTCTCTCTGTCAATGTCTCTCTGTCAGTGTCTCTCTCTCAGTGTCTCTCTGTCAATGTCTCTCTGTCAATGTCTCTGTGTCAGTGTCTCTCTGTCAATGTCTCTCTCTGTCAGTGTCTCTCTCTGTCAGTGTCTCTCTCTGTCAGTGTCTCTCTGTCAATGTCTCTCTGTCTGTGTCTCTCTCTGTCTGTGTCTCTCTCTGCCTGTGTCTCTCTGTCAGTGTCTCTCTCTGTCAGTGTCTCTCTGTCTGTGTCTCTCTGTCAGTGTCTCTCTCTGTCAGTGTCTCTCTGTCAGTGTCTCTCTCTGTCAGTGTCTCTCTGTCTGTGTCTCTCTGTCAATGTCTCTCTGTCAGTGTCTCTCTGTCAGTGTCTCTCTGTCTGTGTCTCTCTGTCTGTGTCTCTCTCTGTCAGTGTCTCTCTGTCAGTGTCTCTCTCTGTCAGTGTCTCTCTGTCAGTGTCTCTCTGTCTGTGTCTCTCTGTCAGTGTCTCTCTGTCAATGTCTCTCTGTCAGTGTCTCTCTCTGTCTGTGTCTCTGTCTGTGTCTCTCTGTCTGTGTCTCTCTGTCAGTGTCTCTCTGTCAGTGTCTCTCTGTCTGTGTCTCTCTGTCAGTGTCTCTCTGTCTGTGTCTCTCTGTCTGTGTCTCTCTGTCTGTGTCTCTCTCTGTCTGTGTCTCTCTGTCTGTGTCTCTCTGTCAGTGTCTCTCTGTCAGTGTCTCTCTGTCAGTGTCTCTCTCTGTCAGTGTCTCTCTGTCTGTGTCTCTCTGTTAGTGTCTCTCTGTCAGTGTCTCTCTCTGTCTGTGTCTCTGTCTGTCAGTGTCTCTCTGTCAGTGTCTCTCTCTGTCAGTGTCTCTCTGTCAGTGTCTCTCTGTCTGTGTCTCTCTGTCAGTGTCTCTCTCTCTGTGTCTCTCTGTCAGTGTCTCTCTGTCAGTGTCTCTCTGTCTGTGTCTCTCTGTCAGTGTCTCTCTGTCAGTGTCTCTCTCTGTCAGCGTCTCTCTGTCAGTGTCTCTGTCAGCGTCTCTCTGTCAGTGTCTCTCTCTGTCAGTGTCTCTCTCTGTCAGTGTCTCTCTGTCAGTGTCTCTCTGTCAGTGTCTCTCTGTCAGTGTCTCTCTGTCAGTGTCTCTCTGTCTGTGTCTCTCTGTCAATGTCTCTCTCTGTCAGTGTCTCTCTCTGTTAGTGTCTCTCTGTCTGTGTCTCGCTGTCTGTGTCTCTCTGTCAATGTCTCTCTCTGTTAGTGTCTCTCTGTCTGTGTCTCTCTGTCAGTGTCTCTCTGTCAGTGTCTCTCTCTGTCAGTGTCTCTCTCTGTCAGTGTCTCTCTCTGTCAGTGTCTCTCTGTCAGTGTCTCTGTCTGTCAGTGTCTCTCTGTCTGTGTCTCTCTGTCTGTGTCTCTCTCTGTCAGTGTCTCTCTCTGTCAGTGTCTCTCTGTCAGTGTCTCTGTCTGTCAGTGTCTCTCTGTCTGTGTCTCTCTCTGTCAGTGTCTCTCTCTGTCAGTGTCTCTCTCTGTCAGTGTCTCTCTGTCAATGTCTCTCTGTCAGTGTCTCTCTGTCAGTGTCTCTGTCTGTCAGTGTCTCTCTGTCAGTGTCTCTCTGTCTGTGTCTCTGTCTGTGTCTCTCTGTCAGTGTCTCTCTGTCAGTGTCTCTCTGTCTGTGTCTCTCTGTCAGTGTCTCTCTCTGTCAGTGTCTCTCTGTCTGTGTCTCTCTGTCAGTGTCTCTCTCTGTCAGTGTCTCTCTGTCAGTGTCTCTCTGTCTGTGTCTCTCTGTCAGTGTCTCTCTGTCAGTCTCTCTGTCTGTGTCTCTCTGTCTGTGTCTCTCTGTCAGTGTCTCTCTGTCAGTGTCTCTCTCTGTCAGTGTCTCTCTGTTAGTGTCTCTGTCAGTGTCTCTCTGTCTGTGTCTCTCTGTCAGTGTCTCTCTCCGTCACCGTCTCTCTGTCAGTGTCTCTCTGTCTGTGTCTCTCTGTCTGTGTCTCTCTCTGTCAGTGTCTCTCTGTCTGTGTCTCTCTGTCTGTGTCTCTCTGTCAGTGTCTCTCTGTCTGTGTCTCTCTGTCTGTGTCTCTCTCTGTCAGTGTCTCTCTCTGTCACCGTCTCTCTGTCACCGTCTCTCTGTCAGTGTCTCTCTGTCAACGTCTCTCCGTCAACGTCTCTCTCTGTCAACGTCTCTCCGTCAACGTCTCTCTCCGTCAACGTCTCTCTGTCAGTCTCTCTCTGTCAGTGTCTCTCTCCGTCACCGTCTCTCTGTCAACGTCTCTCCGTCAGTGTCTCTCTGTCAGTGTCTCTCTGTCAGTGTCTCTCTGTCTCTGTCGGTGTCTCTCTGTCAGTGTCTCTCTGTCTCTGTCGGTGTCTCTCTGTCTGTGTCTCTCTCTCTCTGTCAGTGTCTCTCTCCGTCAACGTCTCTCTGTCAGTGTCTCTCTGTCATTGTATCTCTGTCAGTGTCTCTCTCCGTCAACGTCTCTCTGTCAGTGTCTCTCTGTCTGTGTCTCTCTGTCTGTGTCTCTCTGTCTGTGTCTCTCTGTCTCTGTCGGTGTCTCTCTGTCAGTGTCTCTCTGTCAGTGTCTCTCTGTCAGTGTCTCTCTCTGTCAGTGTCTCTCTGTCAGTGTCTCTCTGTCAGTGTCTCTCTCTGTCTGTGTCTCTCTGTCTGTCTCTCTGTCTGTGTCTCTCTGTCAGTGTCTCTCTGCCAGTGTCTCTCTGCCAGTGTCTCTCTGTCTGTCTGTCTCTCTGTCAGTGTCTCTCTCTGTCAGTCTCTCTCTGTCAGTGTCTCTCTCTGTCTGTGTCTCTCTGTCAGTGTCTCTCTCTGTCAGTGTCTCTCTCTGTCAGTGTCTCTCTGTCAGTGTCTCTCTGTCAGTGTCTCTCTGTCAGTGTCTCTCTGTCTGTGTCTCTCTGTCAATGTCTCTCTCTGTCAGTGTCTCTCTCTGTTAGTGTCTCTCTGTCTGTGTCTCGCTGTCTGTGTCTCTCTGTCAATGTCTCTCTCTGTTAGTGTCTCTCTGTCTGTGTCTCTCTGTCAGTGTCTCTCTGTCAGTGTCTCTCTCTGTCAGTGTCTCTCTCTGTCAGTGTCTCTCTCTGTCAGTGTCTCTCTCTGTCAGTGTCTCTCTGTCAGTGTCTCTGTCTGTCAGTGTCTCTCTGTCTGTGTCTCTCTGTCTGTGTCTCTCTCTGTCAGTGTCTCTCTCTGTCAGTGTCTCTCTGTCAGTGTCTCTGTCTGTCAGTGTCTCTCTGTCAGTGTCTCTCTCTGTCAGTGTCTCTCTCTGTCAGTGTCTCTCTCTGTCAGTGTCTCTCTGTCAATGTCTCTCTGTCAGTGTCTCTCTGTCAGTGTCTCTGTCTGTCAGTGTCTCTCTGTCAGTGTCTCTCTGTCTGTGTCTCTGTCTGTGTCTCTCTGTCAGTGTCTCTCTGTCAGTGTCTCTCTGTCTGTGTCTCTCTGTCAGTGTCTCTCTCTGTCAGTGTCTCTCTGTCAGTGTCTCTCTGTCTGTGTCTCTCTGTCAGTGTCTCTCTGTCAGTCTCTCTGTCTGTGTCTCTCTGTCAGTGTCTCTGTCAGTGTCTCTCTCTGTCAGTGTCTCTCTGTTAGTGTCTCTGTCAGTGTCTCTCTGTCAGTGTCTCTCTGTCTGTGTCTCTCTGTCTGTGTCTCTCTGTCTGTGTCTCTCTCTGTCAGTGTCTCTCTCTGTCACCGTCTCTCTGTCACCGTCTCTCTGTCAGTGTCTCTCTGTCAACGTCTCTCCGTCAACGTCTCTCTCTGTCAACGTCTCTCCGTCAACGTCTCTCTCCGTCAACGTCTCTCTGTCAGTCTCTCTCTGTCAGTGTCTCTCTCCGTCACCGTCTCTCTGTCAACGTCTCTCCGTCAGTGTCTCTCTGTCAGTGTCTCTCTGTCAGTGTCTCTCTGTCTCTGTCGGTGTCTCTCTGTCAGTGTCTCTCTGTCTCTGTCGGTGTCTCTCTGTCTGTGTCTCTCTCTCTCTGTCAGTGTCTCTCTCCGTCAACGTCTCTCTGTCAGTGTCTCTCTGTCATTGTCTCTCTGTCAGTGTCTCTCTCCGTCAACGTCTCTCTGTCAGTGTTTCTCTGTCTGTGTCTCTCTGTCTGTGTCTCTCTGTCTGTGTCTCTCTGTCTCTGTCGGTGTCTCTCTGTCAGTGTCTCTCTGTCAGTGTCTCTCTGTCAGTGTCTCTCTCTGTCAGTGTCTCTCTGTCAGTGTCTCTCTGTCAGTGTCTCTCTCTGTCTGTGTCTCTCTGTCTGTCTCTCTGTCTGTGTCTCTCTGTCAGTGTCTCTCTGCCAGTGTCTCTCTGTCTGTCTGTCTCTCTGTCAGTGTCTCTCTCTGTCAGTCTCTCTCTGTCAGTGTCTCTCTCTGTCTGTGTCTCTCTGTCAGTGTCTCTCTCTGTCAGTGTCTCTCTCTGTCAGTGTCTCTCTGTCAGTGTCTCTCTGTCAGTGTCTCTCTGTCAGTGTCTCTCTGTCAGTGTCTCTCTGTCTGTGTCTCTCTGTCAATGTCTCTCTCTGTCAGTGTCTCTCTCTGTTAGTGTCTCTCTGTCTGTGTCTCGCTGTCTGTGTCTCTCTGTCAATGTCTCTCTCTGTTAGTGTCTCTCTGTCTGTGTCTCTCTGTCAGTGTCTCTCTGTCAGTGTCTCTCTCTGTCAGTGTCTCTCTCTGTCAGTGTCTCTCTCTGTCAGTGTCTCTCTCTGTCAGTGTCTCTCTCTGTCAGTGTCTCTCTGTCAGTGTCTCTGTCTGTCAGTGTATCTCTGTCTGTGTCTCTCTGTCTGTGTCTCTCTCTGTCAGTGTCTCTCTCTGTCAGTGTCTCTCTGTCAGTGTCTCTGTCTGTCAGTGTCTCTCTGTCAGTGTCTCTCTCTGTCAGTGTCTCTCTCTGTCAGTGTCTCTCTCTGTCAGTGTCTCTCTGTCAATGTCTCTCTGTCAGTGTCTCTCTGTCAGTGTCTCTGTCTGTCAGTGTCTCTCTGTCAGTGTCTCTCTGTCTGTGTCTCTGTCTGTGTCTCTCTGTCAGTGTCTCTCTGTCAGTGTCTCTCTGTCTGTGTCTCTCTGTCAGTGTCTCTCTCTGTCAGTGTCTCTCTGTCAGTGTCTCTCTGTCTGTGTCTCTCTGTCAGTGTCTCTCTGTCAGTCTCTCTGTCTGTGTCTCTCTGTCAGTGTCTCTCTGTCAGTGTCTCTCTCTGTCAGTGTCTCTCTGTTAGTGTCTCTGTCAGTGTCTCTCTGTCTGTGTCTCTCTGTCAGTGTCTCTCTCCGTCACCGTCTCTCTGTCAGTGTCTCTCTGTCTGTGTCTCTCTGTCTGTGTCTCTCTCTGTCAGTGTCTCTCTGTCTGTGTCTCTCTGTCCGTGTCTCTCTGTCTGTGTCTCTCTCTGTCAGTGTCTCTCTCTGTCACCGTCTCTCTGTCACCGTCTCTCTGTCAGTGTCTCTCTGTCAACGTCTCTCCGTCAACGTCTCTCTCTGTCAACGTCTCTCCGTCAACGTCTCTCTCCGTCAACGTCTCTCTGTCAGTCTCTCTCTGTCAGTGTCTCTCTCCGTCACCGTCTCTCTGTCAACGTCTCTCCGTCAGTGTCTCTCTGTCAGTGTCTCTCTCTCTCTGTCAGTGTCTCTCTCCGTCAACGTCTCTCTGTCAGTGTCTCTCTGTCATTGTCTCTCTGTCAGTGTCTCTCTTCGTCAACGTCTCTCTGTCAGTGTCTCTCTGTCTGTGTCTCTCTGTCTGTGTCTCTCTGTCTCTGTCGGTGTCTCTCTGTCAGTGTCTCTCTGTCAGTGTCTCTCTCTGTCAGTGTCTCTCTGTCAGTGTCTCTCTGTCAGTGTCTCTCTGTCAGTGTCTCTCTCTGTCTGTGTCTCTCTGTCTGTCTCTCTGTCTGTGTCTCTCTGTCAGTGTCTCTCTGTCAGTGTCTCTCTGTCTGTCTGTCTCTCTGTCAGTGTCTCTCTCTGTCAGTCTCTCTCTGTCAGTGTCTCTCTCTGTCTGTGTCTCTCTGTCAGTGTCTCTCTCTGTCAGTGTCTCTCTGTCAGTGTCTCTCTGTCTGTGTCTCTGTCAGTGTCTCTCTGTCTGTGTCTCTCTGTCTGTGTCTCTCTGTCAGTGTCTCTCTGTCAATGTCTCTCTCTCTCTGTCAGTGTCTCTCTGTCAACGTCTCTCTCCGTCAACGTCTCTCTGTCTGTGTCTCTCTGTCAGTGTCTCTCTCTGTCAATGTCTCTCTGTCAGTGTCTCTCTGTCTGTGTCTCTCTGTCTGTGTCTCTCTGTCAGTGTCTCTCTGTCAGTGTCTCTCCGTCAGTGTCTCTCTCCGTCAGTGTCTCTCTGTCAGTGTCTCTCTCTGTCAGTGTCTCTCTCCGTCACCGTCTCTCTGTCAGTGACTCTCTCCGTCAACGTCTCTGTCCGTCACCGTCTCTCCGCCTCTCTGCCTCTCAGCCACCTGGCGTGCGAGGAGGAGCGGAGCGACGGTGCTCAGTTGCTGCTCAAGCACGGCGCCAGCGTGGACATTGCCAACGCTGACGGACAGACCCCGCTGGAGGTTGCCCCGAGGGGCCTCGCCGCGCTGCTACGCAGGGCACTGGCCCCCGTGCAGACCTAAACCCCCGGCGGCAAGCGGGTAGACAATTCCACGTTGCCGTGGCGAGCGCCCGCCCCCGGGCGAAGCTTTTATTTTATTTATAAGACGGAAGGGAACCGCGCGGCCCCGTGACCCTCCGCCGAGGCTGATTCCTAGGGTCTTGTTCACTCGCGACGCGGCCATCCACTAATGATCGCCGCCACCATCATCACCATCATCACCATCATCACCATCATCGTCATCACTACCACCACCATAATCATCACCACAACCATAATCATCACCACAACCATAATCATCATCATCATCATCACACACCACCACCATAATCACCATCATCACCACCACCATCACCACCACCATCATCATCACCATCATCATCACCTTCATCACCATCATCATCACCTTCATCACCATCATCATCACCACCACCACCATCATCATCATCACCACCATCATCACCACCATCATCATCACCATCATCATCATCACCATCATCATCACCATCATCACCACCATCATCACCATCATCACCATCATAATCATCATAATCATCACCACAACCATAATCATCACCACAACCATAATCATCACCACAACCATAATCATCATCATCATCACACACCACCACCATAATCACCATCATCATCACACACCACCACCATAATCATCATCACCATAAACATCACCACCATCATCATCACACACCACCACCATAATCATCATCACCATCATCATCACCACCACCATCATCATCACCACCACCATCATCACCATCATCATCACCATCATCATCACACACCATCATAATCATCATCACCACCACCATCATCATCGTCATCACCACTACCACCACCGTCATCACCACTACCACCACCGTCATCATCACCACAACCACCATCGTCATCATCACCACCATCATCACCACCACCACCATCATCATCACCACCACCATCATCATCGTCATCACCACCATCATCATCATCACCACCACCACCGTCATCATCGTCATCACCACCACCACCACCGTCATCATCACCATCATCACCACCGTCATCATCACCATCATCATCACCACCGTCATCATCACCATCATCATCACCGTCATCATCACCACCAACATAATCATCACCAACATCACCACCATAATCATCACCACCATCATCGTCATCACCACCATCATCGTCATCACCACCACCATCATCACCACAACCACCATCGTCATCACCACCACCGTCATCATCACCGTCATCACCATCATCATCACCGTCGCATCAAAATTGATAGCAACAGGAACCAAATTGCTCTTAAACACGCGACGTCCATTCTAAATGCGGAGGGGGAAAAACCCGGAGGGCCCGGAAAGATATCCACGACCACACAGGGAGAGGGGCACAAGCAGACTCCAAATACACAGCAGCAGTAGCAGCAGTAGCAGCAGTAGTAGTAGCAGTAGTAACAGCAGTAGTAGCAGCAGTAGTAGTAGCAGTAGTAGTAGCGGCAGTAGTAGCAGTAGTAGTAGCAGCTGTAGTAGCAGTAGCAGCAGTAGTAGTAGCTGTAGTAGTAGCAGTAGTAGTAGCTGTAGTAGTAGCAGTAGTAGTAGCAGCAGTAGCAGCAGTTGTAGTAGCAGTAGCAGCAGTACAATACACACTACGCCACAATACACACTACACTACGCTACAATACACACTACAATACGCACTACGCTACAATACACACTACACTACAATACACACTACACTACGCTACAATACACACTACGCTACAATACACACTACACTACGCTACAATACACACTACACTACGCTACAATACACAATACACTACAATACACACTACGCTACAATACACACTACAATACACTACGCTACAGTACACACTACGCTAACCGTAATGAGAGAGAGCGCCATCTACGGGACGACGGAGGCGGTCGGTGCGTGATCACCGCCGGGTAACTCACATCCAATCAGAAATGGTTCCATCTGGGCCAAAGGCAACGGGGGAGAAGGGGCGGGGAGGGGGCGGAGCTTCGTGGGAATGTTCTGGAAACTTCGGTGGGAAGGTTCCGCGAGGGGGGGGGGCGTGGCTGTAGGCGGGGCTTAGCTCCGCCGAGAGCAATGTGAGGTGTGGGAAGCAGCCTGGGGGTCATCGCCTACCTCGACTCGCCACCGTCCACGCTTGCGGCTCCGCCAGCGAAGGGAGATGGAGAGAGCGGGAGAGAGAGGGAGAGAAGGAGAGAGAGAGGGGGAGAGAGAGGGAGAGAGAAGGAGAGAGGGGGAGAGAGAGAGAAGGAGAGAGAGGGAGAGAAGGAGAGAGAGGGAGAGAGAGGGGGAGAGAAGGAGAGAGAGAGAGGGGGAGAGAGGGAGAGAGAGGGAGAGAGAGAGGGGGAGAGAGGGAGAGAAGGAGAGAGAGAGGGGGAGAGAGGGAGAGAGAAGGAGAGAAGGGGAGAGAGAGGGAGAGAAGGGGAGAGAGAAGGAGAGAAGGAGAGAGAGAAGGAGAGGAGAGAGGGAGAGAATGGAGAGAGAGGGAGAGAAGGAGAGAGGGAGAGAGAGAGAGGGAGAGAAGGGGAGAGAGGGGGGGAGAGAGGGAGCGCTCGGCACGTCGCGACGGTGGGAGGAGGAGGAGGAGAGAGATGAGGGAATCTGTGCGGTCGTTGTCTCCGTAAATCTATAAAAGTTGTTAATGTGTGCGTCTGTTCAAAATGTTTAGCGTGCTTCCCGACATGCAACAAACTTGAAATTTGCCGCGTGTGTGTGTGAACAAACACCTTGTGTGTGTGTGTTGGAACAAGCACCGTGTGTGTGTGTGTTGTAACAAACACGGTGTGTGTGTGTTGGAACAAGCACCGTGTGTGTGTTGTAACAACCACCGTGTGTGTGTGTTGTAACAAACACCGTGTGTGTGTGTTGTAACAAACACCGTGTGTGTGTGTTGTAACAAGCACTGTGTGTGTGTGTTGTAACAAACACCGTGTGTGTGTTGTAACAAGCACTGTGTGTGTTGTAACAAGCACCGTGTGTGTGTGTGTGTTGTAACAAGCACCTTGTGTGTGTGTGTTGGAACAAACACCGTGTGTGTGTGTGTTGTAACAAACAGTGTGTGTGTGTGTGTTGTAACAACCACTGTGTGTGTGTTGTAACAAACACCGTGTGTGTGTGTTGTAACAAGCACCGTGTGTGTGTGTTGTAACAAGCACCGTGTGTGTGTGTGTTGTAACAAACACCTTGTGTGTGTGTGTTGTAACAAGCACTGTGTGTGTGTGTGTTGTAACAAACACCGTGTGTGTGTGTTGTAACAACCACCGTGTGTGTTGTAACAAACACCGTGTGTGTGTGTTGTAACAAGCACCTTGTGTGTGTGTTGTAACAAGCACCGTGTGTGTGTGTGTGTTGTAACAAGCACCGTGTGTGTGTGTTGGAACAAACACCGTGTGTGTGTGTGTTGTAACAAACACCTTGTGTGTGTGTGTTGTAACAACCACCGTGTGTGTGTGTTGTAACAACCACCTTGTGTGTGTGTTGTAACAAACACCGTGTGTGTGTTGTAACAAGCACTGTGTGTGTTGTAACAAGCACCGTGTGTGTGTGTGTTGTAACAAGCACCGTGTGTGTGTGTTGTAACAAGCACCGTGTGTGTGTGTGTTGGAACAAACACCGTGTGTGTGTGTGTGTTGTAACAAGCACCGTGTGTGTGTGTGTGTTGTAACAAACAGTGTGTGTGTGTGTTGTAACAACCACTGTGTGTGTGTTGTAACAAACACTGTGTGTGTGTGTTGTAACAAGCACCGTGTGTGTGTGTTGTAACAAGCACCGTGTGTGTGTGTTGTAACAAGCACCGTGTGTGTGTGTTGTAACAAACACCTTGTGTGTGTGTGTTGTAACAAGCACTGTGTGTGTGTGTGTTGTAACAAACACCGTGTGTGTGTGTTGTAACAACCACCGTGTGTGTTGTAACAAACACCGTGTGTGTGTGTTGTAACAAGCACCTTGTGTGTGTGTGTTGTAACAAGCACCGTGTGTGTGTGTGTTGGAACAAACACCGTGTGTGTGTGTTGTAACAAACACCGTGTGTGTGTGTGTTGTAACAAACACCTTGTGTGTGTGTGTTGTAACAACCACCGTGTGTGTGTGTTGTAACAACCACCGTGTGTGTGTTGTAACAACCACCTTGTGTGTGTGTTGGAACAAACACCGTGTGTGTGTGTGTTGTAACAAGCACCGTGTGTGTGTGTTGTAACAAACACCGTGTGTGTGTGTGTGTTGTAACAACCACCTTGTGTGTGTTGGAACAAACACCGTGTGTGTGTGTGTTGTAACAACCACCGTGTGTGTGTTGTAACAACCACCTTGTGTGTGTGTTGGAACAAACACCGTGTGTGTGTGTGTTGTAACAAACACCTTGTGTGTGTGTGTTGGAACAAGCACCGTGTGTGTGTGTGTGTGTTGGAACACCTTGTGTGTGTGTGTTGTAACAAACACCGTGTGTGTGTGTTGTAACAACCACCTTGTGTGTGTGTTGTAACAACCACCTTGTGTGTGTGTGTTGTAACAACCACCTTGTGTGTGTGTGTGTTGTAACAACCACCGTGTGTGTGTGTTGTAACAAGCACCGTGTGTGTGTGTTGGAACAAACACCGTGTGTGTGTGTGTTGTAACAAGCACCGTGTGTGTGTGTGTGTTGTAACAAACAGTGTGTGTGTGTTGTAACAACCACTGTGTGTGTGTTGTAACAAACACTGTGTGTGTGTGTTGTAACAAGCACCGTGTGTGTGTGTTGTAACAAGCACCGTGTGTGTGTGTTGTAACAAGCACCGTGTGTGTGTGTTGTAACAAACACCTTGTGTGTGTGTTGTAACAAGCACTGTGTGTGTGTGTGTTGTAACAAACACCGTGTGTGTGTGTTGTAACAAACACCGTGTGTGTGTGTTGTAACAAGCACCTTGTGTGTGTGTGTTGTAACAAGCACCGTGTGTGTGTGTGTTGGAACAAACACCGTGTGTGTGTGTTGTAACAAACACCGTGTGTGTGTGTGTTGTAACAAACACCTTGTGTGTGTGTGTTGTAACAACCACCGTGTGTGTGTGTTGTAACAACCACCGTGTGTGTGTTGTAACAACCACCTTGTGTGTGTGTTGGAACAAACACCGTGTGTGTGTGTGTTGTAACAAGCACCGTGTGTGTGTGTTGTAACAAACACCGTGTGTGTGTGTGTGTTGTAACAACCACCTTGTGTGTGTTGGAACAAACACCGTGTGTGTGTGTTGTAACAACCACCGTGTGTGTGTTGTAACAACCACCTTGTGTGTGTGTTGGAACAAACACCGTGTGTGTGTGTGTTGTAACAAGCACCGTGTGTGTGTGTGTTGTAACAAACACCTTGTGTGTGTGTGTTGGAACAAGCACCGTGTGTGTGTGTGTTGGAACACCTTGTGTGTGTGTGTTGTAACAAACACCGTGTGTGTGTGTGTTGTAACAACCACCTTGTGTGTGTGTTGTAACAACCACCTTGTGTGTGTGTGTTGTAACAACCACCTTGTGTGTGTGTGTGTTGTAACAACCACCGTGTGTGTGTGTTGGAACAAGCACCGTGTGTGTGTGTGTTGTAACAAACACCTTGTGTGTGTGTGTTGGAACCACCGCGTGTAGCTTCAGCGTGCAATCCACCCTGCCGCCGACTGCACAGCCACCCAACCAATCGGGCCTCCTCACCGCTAACACCCCAACCCATGATGCCTTGGCCAATTGACCACCGCTGTAGTCTTATCGCAAACCAAAAATCGACAAATCACCAAAAGTTAAATTGCAAAAAGACATTCCTTTATTGAACCACAGCGCCCTTTGAACAACGCCCGTGCAACTTGTCAGCAGGCCTGACCCGCCGCCCCCCCAGGAACGCGATTTCGCTTGGACAGCACCACCCAGGCACAAGGTCGCGGACGTCCCATTACAATTCGCCACAGACCAGCACAGCCGCCACGTACCCCCTTGGGGAGTGGGATACGTTTAGATGTTTCCACACGCACACACGAAGCTTTTCACAAACGCCGGTGCGCGTGTGTGGGGTGGCTAATCTTCGCCCCCACCCCCCCCCCCGGTTCGCTCGCAAAGCACAGCCAAGGATGTCTGTGCTTGCAGTAACCAACCAACCCTTCGAGTGCCACGGTGGCTAGGAGATGTCGACTACCTCGCCTGGTACGCAGGAGGTCGTGGGTTCTACCCCGACCCCTGACACCTGCTACTGCTGTGTATTTGGAGTTTGTGCGTCTATCATCACGGTGGCTAGATGTTGGCTACCTCGCCTGGTACGCAGGAGGTCGTGGGTTCGATCCCGACCCCTGACACCTGCTACTGCTGTGTATTTGGAGTTTGCGTGTCTCATCATCATCACCACGGTGGCTAGGAGATGTTAGCTACCTCGCCTGGTACGCAGGAGGTCGTGGGTCCTACCGCGACCCCTGACACCTGCTACTGCTGTGTATTTGGAGTTTGCGTGTCTCATCATCACCACGGTGGCTAGGAGATGTTAGCTACCTCGCCTGGTACGCAGGAGGTCGTGGGTTTTACCCTGACACCTGCTACTGCTGTGTATTTGGAGTTTGCGTCTCTCTCCCTCCCCTTCCGTCCCGCGGATTTTTCCCCGGCTTTCTCCCCTCCAAATTGAGCAACGCGCCCTTTAGACAACGTGGTTGCTGCCACTCGTCCACGCGATGAGGGGACAACCTTTCGTTGAGCTGCCGTTTTTGCGATGGACAGGTCGCTTCTGAAAAAAAATAGCCGGCTGGGAGGAAGGAGGGGAGGGGGGAGCCTTCTACACCGGGTAACGTTAAAACATATTCTTGGTTCTTTCGGTAAAGTCACGTAGAAGAGAAACAAAATAATAAAAATATAAAACAATTTTATTGTTTTATATTTGTATTATTGTATTGTTTCCCTTCCACGCCTTCCACACCGGGTAACGTTAAAACATATTCTTGGTTCTTTCGGTAAAGTCACGTAGAAGTGAAACAATAAAAAATATTAAACAATTAATTTTTTTTATATTTTTATCATTTTGTTTTACCTTCTACGTGACTTGAACACGAATCCCTGCAGTCACGAAAGCTTCAAATCGAAACGTTAAAACAGTTTCGTTTGAACCTTGATTCTGCGTGTGAAGTCAACTCGCGTAGCGGGCAGGACAACAATAAAAACTAATCGCGACGTTGCGGGCGCAACACGACGCCAAGCGGCCCCGTCGTGCCGACTTCGCCCGGTAACGTCGCTAGCCCCGGGCCACTTCTTCACGACCCTTGGGGCCTACACCCATTTCAAAACCTTTCAACAACAACAACTCAGCCTCGGCAACAGACCACCTGACGGCCGTCGCTTGTTGCGTTGCGAGCGCGAATTTCCTAACTACGTCACCGACTTTGGCGGCGGCGACTGTGGGATTGTAAGAAGGTACCGCTAGGAGAAGCGAATGTGGGATTGTAAGAAGGTTCCGTGAGGAGGAGCGACTGAGGGATTGTAAGAAGGTACCGCTAGGAGGAGCGGCGACTGCGGGATTGTAAGAAGGTACCGCTAGGAGGAGCGGCGGCGACTGCGGGATTGTAAGAAGGTACCGCTAGGAGGAGCGGCGGCGACTACGGGATTGTAAGAAGGTACCGCTAGGAGGAGCGGCGGCGACTGTGGGATTGTAAGAAGGTACCGCTAGGAGGAGCGACTGCGGGATTGTAAGAAGGTACCGCTAGGAGGAGCGGCGGCGACTGTGGGATTGTAAGAAGATACCGTGAGGAGGAGCGGTGACTGGGATTGTAAGAAGGTACCGCTCGGAGCGGCGGTGACTGTGGGATTGTAAGAAGGTACCGCTAGGAGGAGCGGCGGTGACTGAGGGATTGTAAGAAGGTACCGCTAGGAGGAGCGGCGGTGACTGGGATTGTTAGAAGGTACCGCTAGGAGCGGCGGTGACTGGGATTGTAAGAAGGTACTGCTAGGAGGAGCGGTGACTGTGGGATTGTAAAAAGGTACCGCTAGGAGCGGCGGCGACTGTCGGATTGTAAGAAGGTACCGTGAGGAGGAGTGGCGACTGCGGGATTGTAAGAAGGTACCGCTAGGAGGAGCGGCGGCGACTGCGGGATTGTAAGAAGGTACCGCTAGGAGCGGCGGTGACTGTCGGATTGTAAGACGGTACCGCTAGGAGGAGCGGTGACTGAGGGATTGTAAGAAGGTACCGCTAGGAGGAGCGGTGACTGTGGGATTGTAAGAAGGTACCGTGAGGAGCGGCGGCGACTGCGGGATTGTAAGAAGGTACCGTGAGGAGGAGCGGCGACTGAGGGATTGTAAGAAGGTACCGTGAGGAGGAGCGGCGACTGAGGGATTGTAAGAAGGTACCGCTAGGAGGAGTGGCGACTGTGGGATTGTTAGAAGGTACCGCTAGGAGCGGCGGTGACTGGGATTGTAAGAAGGTACCGCAAGGAGGAGCGGCGGTGACTGTGGGATTGTAAGAAGGTACCGCGAGGAGCGGCGGCGACTGTGGGATTGTAAGAAGGTACCGCGAGGAGCGGCGGCGACTGCGGGATTGTAAGAAGGTACCGCTAGGAGGAGCGGCGACTGTGGGATTGTAAGAAGGTACCGCTAGGAGCGGTGACTGAGGGATTGTAAGAAGGTACCGCTAGGAGCGGTGACTGAGGGATTGTAAGAAGGTACCGCGAGGAGCGGCGGCGACTGCGGGATTGTAAGAAGGTACCGCTAGGAGGAGGGGCGGCGACTGAGGGATTGTAAGAAGGTACCGCTAGGAGCGGCGGCGACTGGGATTGTAAGAAGGTACCGCTAGGAGCGGCGGCGACTGCGGGATTGTAAGAAGGTACCGCTAGGAGGAGCGGCGACTGTGGGATTGTAAGAAGGTACCGCTAGGAGCGGCGACTGTGGGATTGTAAGAAGGTACCGCGAGGAGCGGCGGCGACTGAGGGATTGTAAGAAGGTACCGCTAGGAGGAGGAGCGGCGCCCGAATCAGTCGCACGTATCCCCCGCCTCTCGCTTCCGTCAACCAGCGGGGCTTGGGGGGGGTGGGGGTGGTGGGAGATATTGCACTGCCGCCGCCGCCCCAAGCCGCCGGGTTCCACCGTGTAAAAGTCTCTCTCCTCTCGAGAGTTTAAAAAAAGCGTTCCGCCTTACGCGGTCGCGTCGCAAGGAATCGGGAAAATAAATAGCGGCGGTGGAGCGAAGTGACGCGGCGTGGACAAAAATCGCTTCGGCAACCCTCCGTTAAGACAACAAATTAGAGTTAAGATGAACAGCCCGCGTTTAAACACAAAAAACACAAGCGAGATTTTTTTTGGAAACTAAAATCCGGGGCAAACATGCAACACGTGTGTGTGCGTGCACACGTGTGTGTGTGTGTGTGCGTGTGTGCGTGCATTCGTGTGTGCGGTGAACGTCTTTCGTGCCGTACGTAGTCAACCGTGATAAAATCGGAGGTGCGTGGGGACACGGAGACACGGAGGGGACACGAGACAGACGACAGGAGACACGGAGGGGACAATAGACAGACAGGAGACAATGAGGGGACATTAGACAGACTACAGGAGACAATGAGAGGACAGACAGGAGACAATGAGGGGACATTAGACAGACTACAGGAGACAATGAGGGGACATTAGACAGACAGACAGGAGACAATGAGGGGACATTAGACAGACAGGAGACACGGGGGGGGGGAGGGGGAAACGCATTTCACAAATCGCAGACCAACTGCTGTCGAATGCAAAAAATAATAATGTTTTTGTTCGATCTACTCAACTCTACGTACACGCACCAACTAAACAAAATCACAAAACCCCCACGCACATGGGGCCAGAAATACCACGCAGGGCTTTCCCCCCCCCCTCTCCAGCCCGCGACAGTGGGCCAGACCCCCTCCCCAAGTGCACTGTGGGTGTAGGTTGCACGGCATTGTGGGGACGATTGTCTTGGGGGGGCGGGGGGGGGGGGCGGCGATGGGGTGAGGGAGGGAATGGTGGTGGGGGGGGGGGGATGGGGGGAGATGCCGAAATATCCCAGTGGGCTCCTGGGCAAGAGATGGAGATTCAATCTGTGAAGGTAAAAGGGACTCCTCCCGGTAGGAGCTTGCCGGCCGCAGCCGCCACCGGCGGCGTTGGATCGGCGCTTCACCGCCGCCGGCGGCGAGGGATCGGCGCTTCACCGCCACTGGGGAATGAGCTGGGGGTGGGGGTGGGGGGAGTGCCAACACTTGACCCCACCACACACACACACACACGACCTGCTGGCGGTTCGGCTGTGGATGTTATTGTTACTGCCGGGTGGGTCAGAGGTCGGAGCGATTTTGAGGGGGTGAGGGAATGGGAGAGGGGGGGAAGGGGGAGTCCCAACGCTTTAGCCCACCACAACACACACACACACAGAAGACCCCGCGCGGTTCGACTAGCTGTGGGCACGTCACTGTTACTGCGGGGTCAGAGGAATGACATTTTCAGGAACTCTCCTCGCCCCCGCCCCCGCAACCCCCACACTCCCACCACCAATCCCCAGAGCCGCCAAATGCCCGAAGAAGTTCTCCGTCTTTCCCCAGGAGACGCTGACACCTGTGTGTGTGTGTGGGAGGGGGTCCAACGCAAGCGGTTTGATCAGAGCTCATCGGGCGACTTGCGGCTCGCGTCCTCCGCGGCTTGCCGTGCCTCCGACCCCTCGGCCGCCGCCCCCGCCGGTTCGTCCGCGTTGCCGCTCGTCGGCCGTTCCTCCTCCTGCTGCTGCTGCTGCTGCTGCTGTCGCTTCTTCTTCTTCTTGCCCTGCGATTTGGAGGCGGAGCCGGCGCCGGCGTCGTCGCCTTTGCGCTCGGTCCACTCCTCCGAGAGGCACGCTGGTTGACGGGACACACGCGGAGCGTTGTTAAGAGAGGGCGGGCGGGCGAGCGCACGCGCTGGCAAGGCCGTGCGTCGACGAGGGAGCGTTTGGTGGCGTGCGTGCGAGTAGCATGGCCGGGTGCCCGAGCGAGTCGGTACTGCACGGGGGTGGTAATGGGCGAGCGTAGCGGGTCGGCACTCCCGCGCCCCGAACCAGGCGCGGCACGAGTTCGAGTCCCGCTCGCGGCCGACACCGGTGACGATTGTCCCGAGTCGTGGTCCGGGGCCTCCCCTAGGTCGACTCGGCCTCAACCGAGTATCCTGGTGCGTTGTCTGAACATCGCTACTCGAGAGAGACAAAGCCGGCTTGGGCGCTGTGTTGGCCACCCGCTTTCACGGGTGCTGCTCGCTAACAGCACCTCGCCCAGTCTGCTAAGGCTGCACACGGGGGGACATTTGTCTTTTTGCGAGTTCGCGAGGGAGGGTGCGAGTCGTAGGGCGAGTGAATTAGCGAGTCGAGTAGAAGCCAGTCGGTAGTGTGTGTGTAGCAGGGTGGCGAAACAACCCCCTACCTCCTCGCGGTGCCGGATGGGCAACGTTGCCGTGGAAAGTGCCAATTCCGATCGGCCTTTCCCCCCCGAGGGCGTTTGTAGCCACCACAGCGGTTAAATGGCGGCTCCCATTCCCTGTACACCTTGGGGTGCGACAGGGATGTCCTCTGGCTCCCACATTATTTAACATCTTTTTTGACCGCGTAGTTCGTGAAGCCTTCAATAGCTGTACCAGATGAATTTCCATTTGGTACAGTTACAGTGGGAGGCTGATCGATGCCCGGGTGCGGTCAAGGGATGGCTCCCTATTGCTCAACCACGTTATGTATGCCGATGATCTGGTAATTGCTGCTCACTCGGAGGAGGAGTTGGAGGCGCTGCTGCTGAACCTGGAGCTTGCCACCAAGAGGTGGGGCCTTACCATCAGCCCCACCAAAACTAAGCACCTGCCTGGGTATTTTGTACCATCGGACACTCCACCCCCACAACTCCCAGTTGGTGATATAGGGCAGTTGTGGAGAGCGTGGAGAGTTTCCCATACCTTGGCAGTGTGCTCATGACCGGCTCCGGTTTAGCAGCACAGGTCTCACTCCAAATCAGTCGAGCGGCATTATCTTTCTATCGGATGCGTAACGCTGTGTGGAAGCTACCTGGTCTATCACTCCACATGAAGCTTCAGGTCTTGTCGGCCACGGTCATTCCTTCACTTCTCTACGCTTGCGAAACGTGGACCCCCCTAATGGAGCATCTTCGCCGGTTAGAAACATTTAGGCTGGCCTGCCTACGATCCATCCTGGGTTTAACCAAGCTGGATTGTGCGAGGAGCTCACAAATCCTTGAAAGATCTGGGCACGGTCCCATCGGTGAGCTCCTCCAGCAGGCAAGGCTGTGTTGGCTGGGTCATGTAGCCCGCATGCCCAGCCACCGCATGCCTAAACAGCTTTTGTTCGGCCGGATCGATGGGGCTAAACGAGCGCGGCACAGGCTAGAGAAGAGATGGAGTGATGTGGTACAGGAGGACGTGGAGCTGAGTGGACTTTCCAATGACTGGTACCAGCGGTGTCAAGATCGGCCTCTGTGGAGGAGGCTCGTGAAGAACGCTGCTACTGGGCAGTTGGAGGCAGTCGCCCTCCAACAGCAATGGAGGGCGGAGGAGCAACGCTCACAACGAGCGGAGCGCTGGGTGGCTAAAGCACAGCAGGTTGGCACAGTAGGGGGCACAGGTGGTGCATCAGCCACTCATCTCGGTCGTCTCAGTCAGTCGACCCATGGCACCTGGGTCTGCCCCGTGACCTCCCAGCGGGCGCTCGACATTTCACGTGGCCTCAAGGTGCACATGGCCTGGCACAAGCGTTGTGGTGACGTCACCGCCACTTAGTGGCGAATGGCGATTGTTGTGAGAGTAGACGCCAGTTGATACTGTGTGTGTGTGAGTAGCAGTGTGAGTGAGAGTAGAAGCCAGTTGATACTGTGTGTGTGTGTAACAGTGTGAGTGAGAGTAGAAGCCAGTTGATACTGTGTGTGTGTGAGTAGCAGTGTGAGTGAGAGTAGAAGCCAGTTGATACTGTGTGTGTGTGTGAGTAGCAGTGCGTGTGAGAGTAGAAGCCAGTTGATACTGTGTGTGTGAGTAACAGTGCGAGTGAGAGTACAAGCCAGTTGATACTGTGTGTGTGTGAGTAGCAGTGCGAGTGAGAGTACAAGCCAGTTGATACTGTGTGTGTGTGTGAGTAGCAGTGTGAGTGAGAGTAGAAGCCAGTTGATACTGTGTGTGTCTGTAAGTAGCAGTGAGAGTGAGCGTACAAGCCAGTTGATACTGTGTGTGTGTGTGTAGCAGTGTGAGTGAGGGTACAAGCCAGTTGATACTGTGTGTGTGTGTGTAGCAGTGTGAGTGAGAGTAGAAGCCAGTTGATACTGTGTGTGTGTGTAGCAGTGTGAGTGAGAGTAGAAGCCAGTTGATACTGTGTGTGTGTGAGTAGCAGTGTGAGTGAGAGTACAAGCCAGTTGATACTGTGTGTGGTGTGTGTGAGTAGCAGTGCGAGTGAGAGTATAAGCCAGTTGATACTGTGTGTGTGTGTGTAGCAGTGTGAGTGAGAGTACAAGCCAGTTGATACTGTGTGTGTGTGTGAGTAGCAGTGTGAGTGAGAGTAGAAGCCAGTTGATACTGTGTGTGTGTGAGTAGCAGTGTGAGTGAGAGTAGAAGCCAGTTGATACTGTGTGTGTGTGTGAGTAGCAGTGTGAGTGAGAGTACAAGCCAGTTGATACTGTGTGTGTGTGTGAGTAGCAGTGTGAGTGAGAGTAGAAGCCAGTTGATACTGTGTGTGTGTGAGTAGCAGTGTGAGTGAGAGTACAAGCCAGTTGATACTGTGTGTGTGTGAGTAGCAGTGTGAGTGAGAGTAGAAGCCAGTTGATACTGTGTGTGTCTGTAAGTAGCAGTGAGAGTGAGAGTACAAGCCAGTTGATACTGTGTGTGTGTGTAGCAGTGTGAGTGAGAGTACAAGCCAGTTGATACTGTGTGGTGTGTGTGTGTAGCAGTGTGAGTGAGAGTACAAGCCAGTTGATACTGTGTGTGTGAGTAGCAGTGTGAGTGAGAGTAGAAGCCAGTTGATATTGTGTGTGTGTGTGTGAGTAGCAGTGCGAGTGAGAGTAGAAGCCAGTTGATACTGTGTGTGTGGTGTGTAGCAGTGCGAGTGAGAGTAGAAGCCAGTTGATACTGTGTGTGAGTAGCAGTGCGAGTGAGAGTAGAAGCCAGTTGCGTTGCTACCTTTATCCTGGCCACGCAGGATGTGCTTCTCACACAGGAACACCTTGAGGTCTTCCTGCTGGTGGTGCCAGTACCAATCCTCGATCACCTCCTCGTATTCGCCCATCATCATGTCGCACTGAGCACGCGCGCGTGGGGGACATTGGGTCAGACGGCAAGGAGACACGCGTGGGGGGGACACGCCGAGGGACAAAGTCCGCGTGAGGTTGGACAAGAGTTGAGAGAAACTAAAACTACATTTTTTATTTCATGGAGGTGCCAGGTTCACGCGGCGCTACGAAGCTCAGAAGCGACCTCGCCATCACAAATGGTAGCCCCCACCAAGTGGATAATCACCACTCTCGTCCATTTCGGCTCCGGAGAGCGCCGTTTCAGTCACGTGCAAATCTAAACACACGTGGATGCTACATGGAGGGAAAAACGCCTGTGTCTGTACGTAGTGAGGAGTTGGTGTAGAACCTGTGTCTGTACGTAGTGAGACGGTGTGGAACCTGCGTCTGTACGTAGTGAGGAGTTGGTATTGAACCTGTGTCTGTACGTAGTGAGGAGTCGGTATTGAACCTGTGTCTGTACGTAGTGAGGAGTTGGTATTGAACCTGTTTCTATACGTAGTGAGGAGTTGGTATTGAACCTGTCTCTGTATGTAGTGAGGAGTTGGTATTGAACCTGTGTCTGTACGTAGTGAGGAGTTGGTGTAGAACCTGTGTCTGTACGTAGTGAGGAGTTGGTATTGAACTTATGTCTGTACGTAGTGAGGAGTTGGTATTGAACCTGTTTCTATACGTAGCGAGGAGACGGTGTAGAACCTGTGTCTGTACGTAGTGAGGAGTTGGTATTGAACCTGTGTCTGTACGTAGTGAGGAGTTGGTATTGAACCTGTGTCTGTACGTAGTGAGGAGTTGGTATTGAACCTGTGTCTGTACGTAGTGAGGAGTTGGTATTGAACCTATGTCTGTACGTAGTGAGATTGTGTAGAACCTGTGTCTGTACGTAGTGAGATTGTGTAGAACCTGTGTCTGTACATAGTGAGACGGTGTAGAACCTGTGTCTGTACGTAGTGAGGAGTTGGTATTGAACCTGTTTCTATACGTAGTGAGGAGTTGGTATTGAACCTGTGTCTGTACGTAGTGAGGAGTTGGTGTAGAACCTGTGTCTGTACGTAGTGAGACGGTGTGGAACCTGCGTCTGTACGTAGTGAGGAGTTGGTATTGAACCTGTGTCTGTACCTAGTGAGGAGTTGGTATTGAACCTGTGTCTGTACGTAGTGAGGAGACGGTGTAGAACCTGTGTCTGTACGTAGTGAGACGGTGTGGAACCTGTGTCTGTACGTAGTGAGGAGTTGGTATTGAACCTGTGTCTGTACGTAGTGAGGAGTTGGTGTAGAACCTGTGTCTGTACGTAGTGAGGAGTTGGTATTGAACCTGTGTCTGTACGTAGTGAGGAGATGGTGTAGAACCTGTGTCTGTACGTAGTGAGGAGTTGGTATTGAACCTGTGTCTGTACGTAGTGAGGAGTTGGTATTGAACCTGTTTCTATACGTAGTGAGGAGTTGGTATTGAACCTGTCTCTGTACGTAGTGAGGAGTTGGTATTGAACCTGTGTCTGTACGTAGTGAGGAGTTGGTGTAGAACCTGTGTCTGTACGTAGTGAGGAGTTGGTATTGAACTTATGTCTGTACGTAGTGAGGAGTTGGTATTGAACCTGTTTCTATACGTAGCGAGGAGACGGTGTAGAACCTGTGTCTGTACGTAGTGAGGAGTTGGTATTGAACCTGTGTCTGTACGTAGTGAGGAGTTGGTATTGAACCTGTGTCTGTACGTAGTGAGGAGTTGGTATTGAACCTGTTTCTATACGTAGTGAGGAGTCGGTATTGAACCTGTGTCTGTACGTAGTGAGGAGTCGGTATTGAACCTGTTTCTATACGTAGTGAGGAGTTGGTATTGAACCTGTCTCTGTACGTAGTGAGGAGTTGGTATTGAACCTGTGTCTGTACGTAGTGAGACGGTGTAGAACCTGTGTCTGTACGTAGTGAGGAGTTGGTATTGAACCTGTGTCTGTACGTAGTGAGGAGTTGGTGTAGAACCTGTGTCTGTACGTAGTGAGGAGTTGGTGTAGAACCTGTGTCTGTACGTAGTGAAGAGTTGGTATTGAACCTGTGTCTGTACGTAGTGAAGAGTTGGTATTGAACCTGTGTCTGTACGTAGTGAGGAGTTGGTGTAGAACCTGTCTGTACGTAGTGAGGAGTTGGTATTGAACCTGTGTCTGTACGTAGTGAGGAGACGGTGTAGAACCTGCGTCTCTACATAGTGAGGAGTTGGTATTGAACCTGCGTCTGTACGTAGTGAGGAGTTGGTATTGAACCTGTGTCTGTACATAGTGAGGAGTTGGTATTGAACCTGTGTCTGTACGTAGTGAGGAGTTGGTATTGAACCTGTGTCTGTACGTAGTGAGGAGTTGGTATTGAACCTGTGTCTGTACGTAGTGAGGAGACAGTGTAGAACCTGTGTCTGTACGTAGTGAGGAGTTGGTGTAGAACCTGCGTCTGTACGTAGTGAGGAGTTGGTATTGAACCTGTGTCTGTACGTAGTGAGGAGACGGTGTAGAACCTGTGTCTGTACATAGTGAGACGGTGTAGAACCTGCGTCTGTACGTAGTGAGGAGTTGGTATTGAACCTATGTCTGTACGTAGTGAAGAGTTGGTATTGAACCTGCGTCTGTACGTAGTGAGGAGTTGGTATTGAACCTATGTCTGTACGTAGCGAGGAGTTGGTATTGAACCTGCGTCTGTACGTAGTGAGGAGTTGGTATTGAACCTATGTCTGTACGTAGTGAGGAGTTGGTATTGAACCTGTGTCTGTACGTAGTGAAGAGTTGGTATTGAACCTGTGTCTGTACGTAGTGAGGAGTTGGTATTGAACCTGTTTCTTCAGGTCGGCGACCTCTGCCGACGTCTCATTCCACAGCTCGTAGGGGATGTCCATCACCACCTTCACCCCCTTGTGCACAAGTCCGTGCAGGGTCTGAAATGTCTCGCTCATGCCCTGCGAGCATCACCGGAATCGTCAGAAATCAGAATCTGTATTAACGCTGGTGGAGAGAATCCGATGAGCTGTAAAGCTCTTTTTTATTTACTTACAGGATGCCCAGAATGGGTGCATGGGGGTTGATAGCTCGGCGATTCTCTACCTGACAAAATAAAAGCACGGTAAAACCTTGGGATTGCGAGCCACTATTCGTTCCGGAAACGTGTTTGTAATCCAAGGCACTCGTATATCAGCTGTGATCACGTGACGCTCGGTGAGACAAAGCGTACTACACGTTACACTGCTCGTATTGCAAGACCCTCGCTCGTTTATTAAATTAATATTTATTTAACAGGTCCCTGCAGGGTGGGCTGGTAGGAACATTGGAATTTTGCGCAATTGTATTTTTACACCCCAACAGCACGAGATTTCACTTCGTTAAAGTATTGAAAGGGGACGGACGGACGGACACATTAATCTGTTGCAGGCTGGTACACTCAGTTTACAACTTCGTTCCTACCATCAAAAATTTGCTCATCTTCCAACACATTCGCAGGCCAAGTTACTCGCAATCCACAATGGTTTTGCAGTAGTTTTTTAAACATTTTTTTAACAGAGTGATCTGTGTGTGCTTACCCGTCCCTACACTTTGCACTCACGTCGCGTATTATTTTTTTCTCGTATCGTTTGGGTGTCACATTCTGACCCAGTGCCCCAAACGGACGTCAGTGAATAAAGACCTTCCACACGGCTCATCCGATTTCCTCCTCCAGCACGAATAAACATTCGGATTTCATAGCGGCCGCGAGAAGGGCATCTTCCGCAAGTCCAGCGCGTGTGTGTGTGGGGGGATTTGTGAAAAACCTGTGAAATTTCCCCCAATTTTCTGTGACCGTTTCAAAATAGCATCAGAATTTGCACGCGTACCCGCAGGTGGAATTCGATGCGCTACCAAGCCTTTGCGTTTGTTTTTTTTCCCTCACGGGACGCCCCAAGTATGGGGGGCACGGTGGTCAGAACGTTACAACGACGTACGATACGATAAACACGATTGCGAGGGCAAGTCACGAATAACCCCACCGAGCCGTTAGCTTATTCTTCACAAACGATAAGCCCAACCAAGTGGCTTAGCACGTGGAAAGTTAGAGCAGCCAGATTTCTAAATGCTGTTAAACCCGTGACGTTTCTTCTAAAATGCGGAGGGGAAAAACACCCGGGGGAACCCGGAGGAATAAAAAAGATCCACGCGATCACGGAGAGGGAGAGAGAGAGACAGAGAGAGACACGCAAACTCCAAACACACAGCAGGCATCAGGGGGTCTGTGGAGAGCCACAATCATCCAGAAGGTGATTACGATCGCCCTTGCTGTATCTATAACGGGGGAAGAGATGTCTTCCGGAAGATGACTGAACAACTAGCTTTAAAAAAAGTTTTAAAAAATCACATCTTCTTCTTGTTGAAAGGTGCAGTGTGTTCTGCAGATGAAGATACAGGGGGCAGGGTGGATGAAAAGTGCAGCTTACACTCCTGACAATACGATGATTGTTTAACCCATTGGCCGTTTACTTGATTGCATGCTTGAGCGATGGGGGTTGTCTTAATTGACGAGTTCGATTGGCGTCATCTTCCTCGCCTTGTATGCAGGAGGTTGGGGCAGAGTAGCGGGGTTCAGGGGGCAGAGTAGCGGGGTTCAGGGGGCAGAGTAGCGGCGTTCAGGGGGCAGAGTAGCGGCGTTCAGGGGGCAGAGAAGCGGGGTTCAGGGGGCAGAGAAGCGGGGTTCAGGGGGCAGAGAAGCGGGGTTCAGGGGGCAGAGAAGCGGGGTTCAGGGGGCAGAGAAGCGGGGTTCAGGGGGCAGAGAAGCGGGGTTCAGGGGGCAGAGAAGCGGGGTTCAGGGGGCAGAGTAGCGGGGTTCAGGGGGCAGAGAAGCGGGGTTCAGGGGGCAGAGTAGCGGGGTTCAGGGGGCAGAGTAGCGGGGTTCAGGGGTCAGAGTAGCGGGGTTCAGGGGTCAGAGTAGCGGGGTTCAGGGGGCAAGAGTAGCGGGGTTCAGGGGGCAAGAGTAGCGGGGTTCAGGGGTCAAGAGTAGCGGGGTTCAGGGGTCAGAGTAGCGGGGTTCAGGGGTCAGAGTAGCGGGGTTCAGGGGTCAGAGTAGCGGGGTTCAGGGGTCAGAGTAGCGGGGCTCAGGGGGCAGAGTAGCGGGGCTCAGGGGTCAGAGTAGCGGGGCTCAGGGGTCAGAGTAGCGGGGATCAGGGGTCAGAGTAGCGGGGTTCAGGGGTCAGAGTAGCGGGGTTCAGGGGTCAGAGTAGCGGGGTTCAGGGGTCAGAGTAGCGGGGTTCAGGGGTCAGAGTAGCGGGGTTCAGGGGTCAGAGTAGCGGGGTTCAGGGGTCAGAGTAGCGGGGTTCAGGGGTGAGAGTAGCGGGGTTCAGGGGGCAGAGTAGCGGGGTTCAGGGGGCAGAGTAGCGGGGTTCAGGGGTCAGAGTAGCGGGGTTCAGGGGTCAGAGTAGCGGGGCTCAGGGGTCAGAGTAGCGGGGTTCAGGGGTCAGAGTAGCGGGGTTCAGGGGGCAGAGTAGCGGGGTTCAGGGGGCAGAGAAGCGGGGTTCAGGGGTCAGAGAAGCGGGGTTCAGGGGTCAGAGTAGCGGGGTTCAGGGGTCAGAGTAGCGGGGTTCAGGGGTCAGAGTAGCGGGGTTCAGGGGTCAGAGAAGCGGGGTTTAGGGGTCAGAGTAGCGGGGTGCAGAGCAGCCGACGAGCCGCCCACCTTGGCAAACCGGTTGCTCCCGTCGCGCTCCTTGTGCACGTTGTACTCAAGCAAGCGGTTGCACACGTCCTCCGTCGCCTCAATTAAGCGCGTCTCCCTGGGCAGGAGAAAGACGCTCGCTCAGCGCCAACGCCGTACACGTCGCAATAAATATACGTGGACAAAGATCCCACCCCCCACTCCCCCCCATGTCACCTTTAACAGATTGGTTGGGGCAAGGGATGTTAGCCAGAGCCTACGAAGGCCGGTGCTGTGGCACACGAGGGGGGGGGGGGGGGGGGGGAGGTCGGTGGCCAGCACCGGGCCCGGCCGCCTTTGTCTCCCCAGTGGCGACGTTTGCTACACACCGCAACCAGGTCGACCTAGGGGAGGCCCAGGACCGGTTCAAGATAATTGGTCGCTGGTGTTGGCCGCTAGCGGCCACACGACCAAACCCACAAACTATGCAACAAAATGCAACATTTGCTACGTATGCACCACGCTGCATCTGCGTATACAGCGCTCTACAATTAATGCACCGGCTATTAAGGCCGGCACGGCACACAAGGTGGGGTGTGGGGTAGCCTTTTGTCTCAAGCAGTGGCGACGTTTACAAACGCACCACGGCACCAGGCACTCATTTGGGGCCGACTCGACCTAGGGGAGGCCCGGGACCAGTTCAGATAATCCGTCACCGGTGTTGGTGGCCGTGAGCGGGAATCGAACTCGGGACGGCGGATTCGCAGCACAGCGCAGAAACCGCTACACTGCCGCTCCCCCACGTGGATGGCCACACAACTGCTGCCATTTGCCACCAAGTGGCGGTGAAGGCACCACCGTGGTGCTTGTGCCAGGCTACGTGCATGTTAATGCCACGTGAAGTGTCTAACGCCCGTTCGGCGGCATGTCACGGGGCAGACCCAGGTGCCGTAGGTTGACTGACCGAGATGACTGGCCGAAGCACCATACACACGCACACACACACACCACAACAACAACCGCCATTCACCACTAAGTGGCGGTGACGTCACCACGACGCTTGTGCCAGGCTATGTGCACCCTGAGGCCACGTGAAGTGTCGAACGCCCGCGGGCAGGAGGTCACGGGGCAGACCCAGCAGGTGCCACGGGTCGACTGACTGAGATGACTGAGATGACTGGCTGATGCACCACCTGTGCCCCCTACTGTGCCAACCTGCTGTGCTTTAGCGACCCGGCGCTCCGCTCGTTGTTGTGAGCGTCGCTCCTCCGCCCTCCGTTGTTGTTGGAGGGCGACTGCCTCCAACTGCCCAGTAGCGTCCTTCACGAGCCTCCTCCACAGAGGCCGATCTCGACACCGCTGGTACCAGTCATCAGCAGGTCCACTCAGCTCCACGTCCTCCTGTACCACATCACTCCATCTCTTCTCTAGCCCTTGCCGCGCCCGTTTAAGCCCCCTCGATCCGGCCGAACAAAAGCTGTTTCGGCATGCGTACACACACACATACGCACGGTGCTTGCCACTCACGAGTGACGGTACTTGATCTTGTGCCGGGGCTTGTCCACGAAGCCGGACTGCGTCTCCAGGACGTCGTGAGACTTCCCCGTCTCCTCAAACGACTTGGTCAGCTCCACGGCGAGGAACTTGCACACTGGAGGGGGGGGGAGGGGGGAGTTAGCGCACGACACCTCCGATGAACACGGGTGGCTACGTACGGTGCGGAAGAAGTCCGGTCATCCCTCGCGGCAGCGGCGGCGGCGGCGGCGGCTTTTGCCTGGCGGTCGAACAAAGGCGGTGGTCACCGCATCGCACGGCGCTACCAGGTGCGCTCCTGCTGCCGTCTGGAACGCTCTTCTTTCCGATATTTAGGAAACCACTGGAGGACTTTTAAATCATCTCGATTGAAAACTCATTTTTATTCATAACTGCTGCTTTGTGTGTCTAGTTCGTTGTCCTTCCCCGCCTCCCCCCGTGCCTCCGATTAGCAAGGGTGGCCACGTACGGTGCGAAAGAAGTTCAGCACACACACACACATTTCAATCTCTACACCAGGGCCCGCGTCAACCACGCTACGCCACGCGTTGATCCGCGATTGGCCGAGTCTGACGTGCCAATTTCAGATTGGTTGACTCGCATGCCAATTTTTGATTGGCCCACCCTCGCGCGTACCGTTTTCCGATTGGCTCGTTTTCTGTCCTTGGCCATTTTATTATTAATCACCGCTTTTTTGCATGAATCGGTCGTCCTTGAAAAGGCAGAAACATTTTGTGGGGGGAAGTTGGTGACTGTTCGAGCCTTACCGCAGGGCTTCCCTTTTTCTATAATGCTATCCGAAAAATCCGAAAATACATTTCTTTAATAATTATTGGCAAGAACGATAATTATTGGTGCTGCTATGGCAAGATGTTACCTCCTTCGCCTGGTATACAGGAAGTTGTGGGTTCAACCCAGACCCTGTATATTTGGAATTTGAATGGTTGTCCGCGTGGATTTTTATCCGGGTCCTCCAGTTTTTCCCCTCCACGTTTAGACCCAACGTCACCCGTTCAGAGTATTTGGCTGCTATAAATTTCCACGTGATAAGCCACTCCCAAATATACAGCAGCAGGCATCGTCAGGGTCGGAATCGAACCCATGAACCTCCTGCATACCAGGCGAGGTAGTTAACATCTCCTAGCCACCGTGATGATGATGATGCGAGAGACACACAAACTCCAAATATACAGAAGCAGGCATCGTCGGGGTCGGGATCGAACCCACGACCTCCTGCGTACCAGGCGAGATGGTCAACATCTCCTAGCCACCGTGATGATGATGAGAGAGACACGCAGACTCCAAATATACAGCAGAAGGCATCGTTAGGGTCGGGATCGAACCCATGACATCCGGCGTACCAGGTGAGGCAGTCAACATCCCTGAGCCACCGTGGCGCCCCGCAACCCGCTCTCTACACACCAGCGGATTTCATCACTCCATCTCCTCGGTGGACACAAACCTCAGACTCGTTCCACTCCGTTATTACCCCTGACTATCACAGCCATCGTCCCTTCTATCGCTGTGACGCGTCTTGTCCAAGCAGCGCTTTACTTTGCAATATAAAAATAGTTTATATATTTTTATTTTTTTAAGCGATTTGTGTTTTACCCTTCATGTACATTGCACTCCGATCGTGTTTTTGTATTGTTCTGTTGTTCTAACATTCTGACCCCGTGCCCCCTACTGGACATCCTGTGAAAAATATCTTCATAGCGCGTCGAGTGCCGCCTCCAGTATGAATACAAATTCAGATTCTATATTGTTTGAATGGTCACGGAAAAGTTGGGGAAAATTTACGGATTTCACAAAATCTCCCGATGTTTGCGATGGACCTCTTGCGTGAGACGCCCATCTCAAGGGTTTCTGACGTAGTGTCCGACGCGGCCATTATGAACCCGGAATAATTCTTCATACAGGAGGAGGAATCCAATGAGCCACAAAGCTCGTTTTTTCACAGATGTCCAGTAAAGGGGCACAAGAGTCAGAATATTCTTGGTTCTTTCGGTAAAGTAACCACCACGTAGAAGGGAAACAATAAAATAATAAAAAATATAAAACAATAAAATTCTCACGACGTTTCGACTGCAACACAAGCAATCATCGTCAGGCAGGTGTGAAAACCACAGCAAGAAAATTTGAAAAAAGTTTCTGTGGTTTTCACACCAGGAATACGAATCCCTGCAGTCACGAAAGCTTTAAATCAAAATCTGAGTCAGAATGTTACAACAAATAAAATAAAAATCACGACAGGAGTGGAAAGTATGGGATAAGCAAGTGAGAAAATCACTAAAAAATGCTAAAAAAACTCAACTATTTTATGTTACCAGGTAAAGCCCACCGATACAACCAAGCCAACTTGGTTTCAATTCCTTACACGTGGCGGACCATAAACTTTGGAATAACTTGGCGAAGACGTTTGGAATCGAAACTTAACCATTCTTGTCCGAGTTTAAAATCACCTTTGAGCATCAGATTTCCTTTCGCTGGTACATGCAATTGATCACTTTGCATTGTAGACTAAGTATATACAGAGTGTAAAACCTTGGATTGCGAGCATAATTCGTTCCGGAAACGTCATTTGTAATCCAAAGCACTCGTATATCAAAGCGCTCGTAGATCAGTTGTGATCACGTGATGCTCGGCAGTACAAAGCGTACACGTCCGCTGCTCGTATTGCAAGAACCTCGCTCGTTTATCAAATTAATATTTATTTACAAATTTTGCCCGTCTTCCAAAACACTCGCAGGCCAAGTTACTCGCAATCCAGGGTTTTACTGTGTATAAAAGTAAAATATGACGCGATATACTGACCCTGCTAAAATTTATATGCTGATTGTACCACGCTGATGTACGACCTTGCCATTCTGAACTTGACCATGAATAGTTTTTTTTATTATTATTTAGGTTTTTTTCTTTTTCTGTAAACAGGTTTATATTGTGTAACCAATCAAAACATACACAAGCTAGCCAGCACATTAATCTAGGCCTTGGAGGAGTGGTGCATTAGGTGGCGAGATGTTAACTACCTCGCCTGGTATACAGGAGGTCACGGGTTCAATCCCCACCCTGGTGCCTGCTGTATATTTTGAGTTTCCGTATCTCTCTGTGTGTGGCCTTTTTCCCCTCCACATTTAGAATCAACGTGTGCCTGGAGCATTTGGCTGCTATACATTTCCACGTGATGATCAGCCGCTTCGTTGAGCTATCATTTGTGGCTAAGTGGCTTCTGGAAAAAGAGCTTCATAGCTCAAGTGGGCCTTAGCTGGTCAAGTAGAATTTTTTTTTAACAGTTTATAAAATGAGTGGCCATTATGAACCTCCAGACATCCAACCCCAGGGGTGCACAGCAAGCATTTCAGCAATGCTGAATCAGGGTCTCAAACACGGCCATTGTGAACACAATGGCACAGTCATCATGAACCTACTCGCATGACCCACACGAACAAGACTTGGTGATCATTACAAGCCTCCTGACAGTCATTATGAACCCACTCACATGACCCATATGAAGCAACATTGCCCTTATAAACCTACTGACAGCCATTATAAACCCATTAACATGTCTGATATGAACCAACATTGGCATTATAAACCCAGTAGCATAGCCATTATGCATCTTGTGCCATGGCCATTATGAATCCCCTAACATTGCAATTATGAACCCAGTGACATGACCATTATGAATCTATTATGAGACCTCCTTTGCCAGAAACAAGATATAGGAATAGGTTTTACCCTTTTAACTGGCACAAAAACTGACACCTTTATTCAAGGCATCATGTTTGCAATAACCACAACAAGCAGTCAAAATGCAAACAAAAAAGACAACTCTGATAAGGACAGCGCATATTATTATCAGAGTTGTCTTTTTTGTTTGCATTTTGACTGCTTGTGTTGTGGTTATTGCAAACATGATGCCTTGAATAAAGGTGTCAGTTTTTGTGCCAGTTAAAAGGGTAAAACCTATTCCTACATTATGAATCTACTCACATGTATGGTTATGAACCTACTGACATGTAGAACTTCTTTTGCACCATGTAGCAAACCATGCCAACCATGCTAACATGGTTAGCATGGTTGGAACAGATAAATCCAGAAAAAAACCCAGCAAAGTCTTCCAGAAAAAGCACCATCATGAACCTACTGGAATGGCCACGATTCATTGACATGGCCATTATAAACTCACTAACATGGCTATTATGAACCTACTGGAATGGCCACGATTTGTTGATATGGCCATTATAAACTCACTAACATGGCTATTATGAACCTACTGGAATGGCCACGATTCATTGACATGGCCATTATGAACCTACTGGAATGGCCATGATTTGTTGATATGGCCATTATAAACTCACTAACATGGCTATTATGAACCTACTAGAATGGCCACGATTCATTGACATGGCCATTATGAACCTACTGGAATGGCCATGATTTGTTGATATGGCCATTATCAACTCACTAACATGGCCATTATAAAAACTCACTAACATGACCATTATGAACCCACACGTACGTCAATTATGAAGCAAGTGACAATACGATTATGCATCTACTGACAAAGCCATTGCGATTCATTCACCAACATGACCATTGATGCACCGACTGAAATGTCCATTATTATAGCACGGCTGGCTACGCGCCGTGCGAAAGACGTTAAACAAATAACTATATACCCAGCGACATGGCCATTACGAACCTCACGGAACCTGGCAACATTACGAACCTCACGCAACCTGGCAACATTATGCACCGTACGGAACCTGTCAACATTACGAACCTTACGGAACCTTGCCTACATTATGCACCGTGCGGAACCTGGCAACATTATGAACCTTACGGAACCTGTCAACATTACGCACCGTACGGAACCTGTCAACATTATGCACCTTACGGAACCTGTCAACATTACGCACCTTACGGAACCTTGCAACATTATGAACCTTATGGAACCTGGCAACATTATGCACCGTGCGGAACCTGGCAACATTATGCACCTTACGGAACCTGCCAACATTATGCACCGTACGGAACCTGTCAACATTACGAACCTTACGGAACCTGGCAACATTACGCACCTTACGGAACCTGTCAACATTATGCACCGTACGGAACCCGTCAACATTATGCACCTTACGGAACCTGTCAACATTATGCACCTTACGGAACCTGTCAACATTACGCACCTTACGGAACCTGTCAACATTATGCACCTTACGGAACCTGTCAACATTATGCACCTTACGGAACTTGTCAACATTATGCACCTTACGGAACCTGTCAACATTATGCACCTTACGGAACCTGTCAACATTATGCACCTTACGGAACTCGTCAACATTATGCACCTTACGGAACCTGTCAACAGTATGCACCTTACGGAACCTGTTAACATTATGCACCTTACGGAACCTGTCAACATTATGCACCTTACGGAACCTGTCAACATTATGCACCTTACGGAACCTGTTAACATTACGCACCTTACGGAACCTGTTAACATTATGCACCTTAACGGAACCTTGCAACATTACGAACGTTGCAGAACTTGTCACATAAATAAAATAACGTCGTCGGCTCCTCGTCAATGCAGGACCCTACAGTACAGTCAGCACTAACATCGCGGCCCGCTGATGGGTTTTTTTTTGTCGTACCGATTAAAAAAAAACATGAAACACCTCCCCATTCACGTAATCATTATTTATACGTAATCATTTAACCACCGCAACAAACAGACAAACAACACCACCGCTCCTCCACCCCCCACCTCCATACACACACACACGCACGTAATCGTTTAAATACCTCCATCATTGACTCACCCTCACACTTGTTAGGAAGCTTCACTGGTTCGTCGTCTTCGTCCAAGCGGTCGCCTCTGTCTCCCTTGCCGCGCGCCGCCTCGCACGCCAGCGCCCCCAGCAACGCCGCGACGAGCATCGCTCGCAGCATCTTCGATCTGTTTTTTTACTAATTAAAAAAAAATGCGAATGTTTAATTGTTTTAATATTTACCTCACAAGCCGCCGCTGTTGCTGCTGCTGTTGACGTTCCTCTTGAAGCTTCTAAGGGGGACCCCCCCCCCCCCCATCCTTTTATAGTGACACCCACCACCCCCTCCTTCCTCGATCCTCTGCTGCTATTGGTCAGGAGGCGCGCACGTGAGCCGGGCCCCGTCGCGCGTGCGCGCACGCCATTGGACGTCGTTTCGCGCGGGTGCGCGCGCCGACCGGAAACGCGGGGCGGTGTGTTGGGGGTGGGGGGGCATGGGGGGGGGCGACCCTCCCCCCCCCCAAAAAAAAGGGCGGGAGAATTTTGGTTGGGTGCGAAATTCAAAGAAGTCCACATCCGCCGGAAATGAAATGACACGTGGCCGTTTGGGGGGCGTGGTTTGGGGGCGGGGGGTTTGGGGGGCTTGGAGTGGGGTGGTGGGTATCTTAAACAAATCTGGGTTCCGAAAAAAAAATATACAGCACCACAGATAGATTTGTTCACGAGGCAATTCAGATCTACAAACACAGACACAATTTCAACCGAGAAGATGGCTTCAAATGAGGCAACCATTGGAAAGATTGTTCTAAATCTAACCAAACGTTAAAGGATTTTTTTTAATGGTACGGTTTGTTCATTCAATTAGTGGCATCCCAAACTCTCACGGTGGTGCTAATGTATTTTTGATGCTATTTGCGAGCTTGCACGGCTTTACATTGTTATGCTAATTATGCTTTTGTCAAGGCGTCGTTTTTGTTTTTCCCACTCACAGCTTTAAAGGAGGCGACCTGCGCTTGACTTTTCTTCACTCCAACGCTGTCCTCTGGACAGGTTGGACCCTTCACCTGATGAAGGCCACTTGTGTTGTGGTCGAAACGTCGTGATTTTTGTCGTACTATTTTTTTTACCTACGTGCCTTTACCGAATAGAACCAAAGAGTAAGCACCACATCTGCTGCATTAGACTCTTTGAATCAAATTTACAATAGCCTTGATAATAAGCAGTACTGTGCCTGTCTTCTTTTGACCTGTCCAAAGCTTTTGATACAGTAGACCACAACACCCTGCTTAGTAAATTAAGTTGCCTCGGTTTTTTCCGAAAACACAGTACAATGGGGAAAAAAAAATTACCTCTTTTCTCGCACCCAAACTGTATTCACGGATGGTTGGAGGTCAAACAGGGTTAAGATAACAAAAGGGGTTCCACAGGATTCCATCCTCGGCCCCCTCTTGTTCTCTCTTTATGTCAATGACTTGGGCACTGACCTGGATCATTCCAGGGTAAATATTTTTGCAGATGACACGATACTGATTACTGCTGGCCGCTCTCCGGATGACGTGATTGCTAAGCTCCAGGGTGATTTCAACAAACTACAACATCAGCTAGTTTCTCTTAAACTAGTCCTGAATACCTCCATAACCAAGGTGCTATGCTTCTCACCGGGACTAAAGCAGTAAGTTATTTTTCCCCAATTATATTCCTTGAATAATTATCAAATAGAGCAAGTCAAGATCTATAAGTATCTTGGGGTCATCCTGGATTCAAAACTGAATTTTGAAGATCACATTGATTATATTGGTAAAAAGACAAAAATAAAAATTGGTTTTCTGTATCGACACAAGCACTGCTTCCCCCTAATGTTCTGTTTGGAATTGATAAAAGCTACCATACTGCCTCTACTTGACTACTGTGACATCGTGTATAAATCAGCCCCAAGTACTGTACTGAAGAAGCTTGATTCCATTTATCACTCGGCCTTAAGATTTGCATTGAACTGCCCATATAGGACTCACCACTGTGATCTCTACATTGGGTCAAACTTAACATCTCTTAATGTTCGACGGCTTGTGCACCAGATCTTATTTATTCACGATGTACTTACAAAAAAATCTACAGACTACCTACTGGATCTCCTCTCTGTTTCAAAGAACAAATTTGACCTCAGGTCTTCGCTCATTTACCAGCTTCACATTCCCTATTGCCGTACGAAAACCAGAGGAAGGGCCTTTGCTATTGATGCCCCCAGGGTCTGGAATGCTATTGCCAATAAACTGCAACTTGAATCACTACCTATGAGATCTTCACTCAAAACTGCTCTAGAGGAGTTGTACACCCCCAGCTGCCATTGCTATTCAGTGGCCTAAAATATGGCTCTAGATTTTGGTGTTATAATTTATGTATGTAGTTTATTGTTAAAAATTCGGTCACAGTCCCTACGATCACTGTTACATTGCATTTATGGCTTTTATTTTGGTGATTTCGAAAACGTTTTTTTGGTTTGGCCATGTTTTTGTTTATTGTAGTACGGAGTTAGACTGATGGCCTTAATCTTAGTTGTCTTGTGGTTGTTGTTATTTGACTTGCATCCCACTGGGATTTTTGCACACAGCGTTGGTGTACGGTGCTATTTCAGGAATATTTTGATTGTTTTTTTCCTGGATTTTCTGTTTGCACAGTCACACATAGTCACTTGAAGATGTTTTCTTGTTCATGTTTTTTGTTTGTTGAGTTTGCACCCGATTCAAGAGCCGAATGGCTCACAGGGCTCTACCAAATACATGGAACTAAACTAGAGGGAGGTTTGGGGGGCGGGAAACGGAGGGTGGGGGGGATGGAGAGGAGGGGGGGTCTGGGGGGCGGGGGAGGGGAGGGTGGGAAGGAGGGGGAGTCTGGGGGGCGGGGGAATCTGGGGGGCGGGGGAGGGGAGGGTGTGGAGGAGGGGGTTCTGGGCAACGGGGGAGGGGAGGGTGGTGAGGGTCAGCGCGCAGCCAATCAAAACGCTGAACGCGTCACTTTGAATAGCAACGAAATTTGCATAGCGTAATCTTTGTTTTTTTCGGTGAAGTCACGTGGGTATAAAATAAAATAAATTTACGACGTTTCGGGCGCAACACAAGCGTCCTGTTGCACCCGATAAGTCGTGTTTTATTTTATACCTACGTGACTTTACCAAAAGTACCAAAGAGTACAGACAGATTCCTGCAGTCACGAAAGCTTCAAATCAAAATATTTGAACGATGGATATTAAATAAGAAAAGACACTAACAACATTGTAAGCACGTAACATTCAAAGAAACGTGGTTAATCGATGTATTGATTAATATTTACTACATGATTGGTTCTTTCGGTAAAGTCACGTAAATAGGAAACAAAAATTAAAATTTTACAAAAATGATAACAATGCAAATAATACAAATAAAACAGAGGAATGGTTCATATTATTGGTTCGTTCAGTAAAGTCACGTAGAAGGGAAACAATAAAATAATAAAAATATAAAACAATACAATTCTCACGACGTTTCGACTGCAACCCAAGCAATCATCATCAGGTGTGAAAACCACAGCAAGATTTTCTTGCTGTGGTTTTGTGTTGCAGTCGAAACGTCGTGAGAATTTTATTGTTTTATATTTTGATTATTTTATTGTTTCCATTCTACGTGGTGACTTTACCGAAAGAACCAAGAATATGAATCCCTGCAGTCACGAAAGCTTTAAATCAAAATTTAGAGGAATGGTTGGTAAGCGAACACATTTGACTCTATCACTACAGGTTTTACCCTTGCTGGCGTTTCGCCAGTAGTTACAACCACCTTCATCAGGTGCTAATTGTAATCTGGCTGTCCGCCTGATGAAGCTGGTTGTAATTACTGACGAAGCGTCAGAACTCGGATCGTAAATGTTGTGGATTTTCCTCTCCAACACACAACCGGTTGGTGCTGTGTTAATGTAGTGCGCTAATTCACAGACACTAGCAGGAGGTATTCTCTCTCTCTCTCTCTTATTCCGGCCTTCACAGCCTTTAGGTCAGGGGTGGGAAACGTCCGACCCGCGGGCCATATGAGGCCCGCGAAATCATTGGGTCTCTGGCCCTGCCAAGGCAACCGCAGGTGCGACTCGAAATTCAATAAATCTAGGAGAGCAAAACCTGGAAAAGCAGTTGCGAGTAGCAGCAACATCGTCAATACCGGCTAACATCACCACCACGCCTCACCAAAGAGAAGCAGCTCCAGCCATCGCGTTAGGGGTGAGTTAATTAAATGTTTGACCAAATATAACGGGCTAATATTAAAGTTGATAATTTTGTATGGCCCACGAATGATGTTATATAAATATCCAAATGACCCTTGGCATAAAAAGAGGTTCCCCACCCCTGGTTTAGGGGATAACCACGCACCGGGTCGGGACAGCCAACATGCTGCCCGACCCACAGGGCGAAGAGGGCGGCGAAGGTCGCGGCGAAGATCGCGGTGACGAGTTCCACTCCAGATCGCAGCAGCCCCGACCGTGAGTCGGAGCTCCTCCTTTTATCCTGCCCAGCGTGGCCAGGCTCCGCCCTCGCCCTCCCCCCCTCCTCCTCCCACAGGTGCCACTGGTAGAGAATGCCGCTGCTGCCCCTAATGCCGTAGTCTACCAGTGACGTGCGGTGAAGTCAATGGCTGGGGAGGCGCTGGCTACTGTCAGAGCCAGAGTCACACACTGAGGGGGGGGCGTGGCCTCACTGAGGGGGCGTGGCCTCACGGAGGGGAGGCGTGTTAGACACGTCTTCCCTCGGTGAGGCAGATGTGACAGCTGCCTCCCCCGGTGCTTTTTCATTGCAGTTTCATGAGACCAGCGAGCCTAAATATCTTTATACACGTACGTGAAATAAGTTAACCTGGAGTATGGAAGGCGAGGACATGAAATGAAGGGGTCTACAAACATTACATTGGTGACGTACTGAGATAGTAACAGGCACGTGCTTATTGCCCGCGCTCCATCAAGTTACTGAGGGGTTGCGCAATCAGAGGGGAGGCTGAGCTCATCATTGCCTCACCTCTCGTCTCTTCCTGTATTTGCAGCGGAGCTCCGCAATTTTGGCGGTTTTGACTATAAAAATGATTGGAATCGTCCAGAAATGACTTTTATAACACTAATCAGTGGAAAAATCTTAACATTTATTTTATTTGATTCTTTTTTTTTCGTAACAGCTATTTTTTTATTGGAGTATGACAGGTGAGGCTCTGCCTCCCCTAGCCTAACGCACAAGTAATATATGTTAAAATAACGCTGAGTTTTGTGCTTTTGTAACGTTCACCCGGTTATTTTATTGT